AGGATTTATTATTATTTTCCATGTTTGCCAGAACAATACGAAGTCGGCGTTGTATGTAGGCGTAAGGACAGGTGAACTTTGCAATCAATGTCGGTCGCAAGTCAAGAATTTCTATCATGTATGAATGAAATCAAATAAATATTAAATATGTCGTTTTTCCATTGCAGAGAAAAAAAACAAGAGAAATGACATCGTAAAATGTAAAAGCAGAACAACAATGGATCAATATATAGAATAACATTAAAAAGACATTCTTGTGAAATCGTTGTTACGTTTTATGGTACATATATTTACTTTGGTTTTTTCTGTGAGTTTATATATGTATGCAAGTTCGTCCGCCTATGTGTGTCTTAGTAAAATCTGTTTAGTTGCTATGAAACAATTATCCCCTTTGCTTTGACATAAAAACTAAAATAATAAGGACCACATAATGAGTATCAAATTACTGGACGATTTCGCTAGCAATTACATCACCCATATTAGCTCGTTCTTGCATAGAGACACAATTCTCGAGCACTCAGTGCAATCCACTAATCACCAATACTATAATACTAAATTAAGTAAATTAAATTTACCTTTTGTAGTAGTTCTATGGTGTGTGGTTGTCAGCGAGTCTGTGTTGAAGTTTTACTGAATCTAAAACAATAAGATAAATCTAGTTTATTTAACAAGTTCAGTCTTTTACTGTATATTGAAATAATTATCCAGGAATAAAAGTTCATACTATTATCGATATGTATGCGGTATTTATCAGTATTATTTTTGTAATTGCTTTTAACAGAAATTTGGAGAAAAACTCAAGAAAATTCTTATATAATTTAAAGTTTTAAAATACTCGTTCGGTAAGCATCATTCCTGGTGAAGCCATTACCTGTGTGTGTGAGTTTCTCAACTAGGCTTGGCATCATTCAAAACGCAACTGTCACACACTTGCTATTTTCTGTTTTTATTTCATTTCAGCAGCATGAAGCCATAGCGATTAAGTGTTGATGCATTTTTGAGCAAGATAGCGTCATGATAAATGAGTCCCTTTCCTCAGCCATTTGTTTGAGTCCTGCCACACCTTGTGGATTTCGAAGTGGATATTCGATGACGCTATACTAACCTATTATAAGGGAAGTGTTGAATGATGTATATGGAAGCTTTTAGTTGGCTCTTCATGGCAATAAAAGTAGCAGCATTTCCCTGGATTCCCTTTAGCCGCCATCTGTCACATTGACAAACGGGAAATAGATCATATAATAGCAACAATAGATTGAATGTCAACGATATTCGCGAGACAATAATGCCGTTTGTGTGATGGTTTTTTCCAGCAAGAAGAAATGTAAGCCACTGTGTGTATAGAGCTATGTCTGTATAATGCTTTTATCAAGCAATAAACATCTAAGTCGTTGTGTGCATCAACGTATATCTGATAATATATATATATATATATATATATATATATATATATATATATATACATATACGACGCAATCTCTTAAATGGACATAGGTGTAAATGTGTTCTATTGGAAAGATAATTATGTTTGTATGTAATATATTCTGATGTGTAGCGAGGGAATGAGCACAATGATTGATCACTCGAACACAATAATAAAGACATACGCAAGCACATACATAAATGTATATATATATATATATACACATATATATATATATATATATATATATATATATATATATATACAGACACACACATGCACACACACACACACACACATATATATATATATATAGTGAACGAGAGATGGATGAAGAGATAGTGGGAAAGAAAAGATGGAACATATGTTTTATTAGATTCAATCAACAAATTATTCAGTGTCTATATTGTATTTTGACAATTTTCGAATCAGAAAAGTTGTAACTTTGAATCAAATTATAGTTAATACCTCAATGTGCATGTGTTATTCTATGTTTCTCCAAGAACTTTCAACTGTCACAGTCATTATAATTGGAACGAAAAAAGGGTAAAAAGTAATTTCTTGGATGCAGCTTGAAATTTAATGAAATCTTTTATACAGAACATAATATTATTGATATAACGCGTAAAACGCTTGTACTGACCTATACCGCACCGGAAATGAATACATAAAACATTTATACGTGTTATTATTATTATTTGTGTGTTATGTTTCCTGCTTTGTATCCTGTAGAGCCGGCTCTTAACTATGGTCCTTGGGTCCTATAGGAGAAATGTCATTTAATTGAGAGCACTTTTCTCATTATATGGGATGTTCTTTGTTGGGCGATTTTCTGGGCAAATTGAACGTGGTGTTACCTGGGACGCTGTTCGTAAAATTGTCCATTCCTTTTCTCACGACGCCCAGAGCTCCGGTTAATTTGGGTACAGTCACAGATTTCATTCCCCACATCCAGTTAATCTCGATCTCCAGATCCTTGTATTTAGATATTTTCTCGATAATTATCATGTAAGTGTTACGCTCAGATGGTACTATTATGTCAATGAACATACACTTCCTGATTTTTTTGTTTTTTTTGTGTCTTCTGGCATTTAGTTCTCTGTCTGTTCAAATTGGCATGTACCAGAGAATAGTTACATGGTTATTTTGGTTAACTGTACTGGGTGTTGCTCATGCAGTGCTTACTCCTTCCCCCCCCCACGAGAATGAGATATCGCACAAGTTCGGACCAATGTGGGGACCCGAGCGCGTGCCCCCTCAGCCCCCGCAACCGTCGGTTGCGCTGGCCTCGGTGCGAGCACCGATCCCTCCCTCTCGTGCAATGGGAGGGCGCGGCATCGAGCAGCTGTTCCCCGGGGCTGGGCACCTCTTCACTATAATTTTTCCTTTGACAGAGAAGCTCCTGAGCGCACTCTGTCCAAGGACAGAGACGCAACTGAGAGATGATAAATAATTACTGATAGTAATTTATGCGCTCATACTGACTCTCATTAGTTTCGATATTGTGCTTCTTGTATTTCTTCCAGTGCACATATGTTGCTACATTGTTCCGTTTACTGTGGTGAAATATATTTAATTTACTGTAAATTGTTTTTCGTAATAAGTATGTTCAGTCAGTTCTTACAGTCTGTTTTGTATATTAATTTGGAATCAGCTACTAATCTTTGTCTTACGTTGACCGTCAAATGTTTGTTGTTTCTGATGTGCTGATCAATATATAATCTAATGGCACTAAGTTTTGAAACGTGACAAGGAAAGTTTGGTGCTTATGTAGCAACTGTAAGAATTTAATGTAGTTTATTGATTGTCACTTGTTTGTTCCGATATACAGCATCTTATTTGAAAATTGGAAAAAAGCAAAGAAAAAATTAAGAGAATTGTTGTCGATTGAATTGTCGATGTATATGTGCGTGTGTGCGTGTATGTGGTTCAATGTGTCTGTGCCTATGTGTGTTTGAGTAGACGACTTATTTATGTTTTAACTATGAAATTAAAATCTACTTGGTTCAAGATCGAAAGTATTAATAAAGAAATATGTCTCCTGACTGAAATCGATGCTGAGTAAAATCTGAGATTGTCGGAAGTGAAGAGTATGACGATAAAATAGAAATAGAATAGGCTAAGATCTATCCTGGACGTGAATAAGATAATATTCAAGGGTTCTGAGAAACATTAATGTGTCACTTCCAAAAAACGTTCTCCTAATTTTTGGATTACAGAGGATGTGAGTATGATTCGACACTATTGAAACATCAATGTACGATCTAGCTGCAAATGTCTTTACTTTGTAACTAAGAAATGGATTTATCTGAACATTTAACACGGAAATAGCGATAGAGAAGCGACGAGTGTCGAGTGTTGCATCATCAGCTCTAACCCAGATCCGGCAGCATCATTTCAATTTTTGTCTAATCTAATTGCTTTAAAGATAACGCCTGTCTGATGGAATCAGGCATATTTTTGATAGACAGAGTGATCTGACCATCTTAGGTCATCCTCAAAATTTTATCAGAAATCATTTTAAACCAGGAAAGCTCACTGAAGTTTCAGCCATTTATAATTAGCTTATATTTCATGATGAACTAGCAGCATGGCCCGGCGTTGCCCGTGCTTGATTCAAAAGTCGTACGACTCATACAGCAATCGCTATCACTTGACTTAAAATATTTTTGCCCTTCCTTGGCTTTAAAGGAGTAGCCTTTGCAGTGCTGAGGTTGCTACATGCCTTTCTTCTTGCCTATCTCACGCTGCCAATTTTTTCTAAGCTCTATACTAAACATTAAATCTGTTACGAAAAAAGAACTATACAAAATGAACACAAAAAGATCAGCTTTAAAAAAAAGGACTCGTAACTGGAAAAAATGAATGAAAAAAGAATGTTAACAACAAATACTTTTTCACACCCAACCCAGTTCTGCGGAATCAGAATCAGCGTTGAGTTTATGTAAGCGAATGAGCCAATTGGAGAAAAGTGCCATGCAGATTTAATTTTTCCCACTTGTGACGAATGCAGTTATCGATTTTTGTGGCATCCAGCTATAGGCTCTCACTCTGGACAGTACAAAATGGCCGCAAACTACATGAAAACTGCCGTAGATGCTTGAAAAATGGATTATTTCCACTATCGATGGGAGTTGGGAAATGCAATGTTGGTCTTGGCCTTTTCACTAACTTGAAGCATGAGCATGTTAATTTTGTTGCAAATCCGTCGAAAATTGCGGCCTTGCATTCGTTACACACACACACACATCCTGCCTTTTATAGATAGAGATACAGAGAATGAACAAAGACACTGTTATATACCGTAACTATGAACATTAATTTGTATGTGTAAATCCTCATAAATACGTTGGAAACTATTCTTAGTTTATGTGTGGGGTGGAAATATGCTAAGTTGTCCACCACAAGGAGTTGTTTAGCCACTTCACGCCGCTGGCGAGTATTGTATTTTGTTGATGTTATACTGATTTCCATTTCATTTCCAACCTCCATTTTCTTTATTCTTCATTCAGTAATCTTTTCTAGGTTACAACTTCTTTTCGGGGAGATATTAAGAAACAACTGTGTGATAGACATGATGCAAAACTAAACTGTGTACGTATATTTCAATAAGAATTTTGTTCAAGCTTGTCATCTGCAGTGAGTATATTTTTAAGCTTTTATTGACAAGTTTCTAGTTTAGATTTGCCTCCCATAATATTCTATATTTCTTTATATTTCAAATATTTCAGCACATCTAATTATTACCACCATTTTTTCTCTACATATCACTAATTTCTTGTTTTTTTTATTTCTGTATTTCAAGCTTTTATTTTAAAATGATTTCCTCCCATGACGTTTTTTTAATATTTCAGCTTTTTTTCCAAATTATTTCCCATTATTTTTTGCATTTTGTCTCGATTTTCTACTTTTCTGATATTTCTGCATTTCAAAGGTTTATTTTCCAAATTTTTTTTCTGAAAATACTGTGCATTTCTCGAAATAAGCATAATTTTAATATTACTAAATGTATATACTATTTTTATTTCCAAAGCAAATATACACCGAAAGTAATGTCTTTTCTTTATTTACACGCAAACTAAATCAGACACACGGATCCTGTTCACTCTTGAATTCAGCTCCAAAAATATATTCACACATAGTTACCACCATTGGCTCATATCCATTCAATGACACATCATCGTTTTGTACCCAATTAAGTGACTGATACTATTTTACAGACTGTTCCGCCAACTGTTATCAATAAGGCACAAATATTATGCATTAACGGCGTGAATGGTTTCGCTTTTCTACCATCTGTATAATATTCATATCTGACGAGGTGAGTCAATATAATACGTAAAATGAACTATCCTAATTGTTTCGTAGTAAATAACATTGATTTAGAAAGGAAATTTAAATGCCGGTCAGAAATAACCGTGAATATATAAAGTAATCAATGTGGATATTTGATTGTGAATTTTTTAAATATCTAGTGACGGGATATAGACTATTAAAAATGGAATCCATTGTTTTATGTACAGCGGGATGAGAGGAAAACGAAATGTGTCGCTGAGATGATGGCCGTGTGACACCGAAGATTTTTTCTACTAGGCAGAAGAACAGTGTAATCCAAAGAATGATTGATTTAGCACATGAGGATAAATATATTGGAAGCAGTACCTTTTCTAAACGTTTTGGTAAATTGGATTTGGCTGAAAAACTTGGTAGCAATCACTTAATATTGTTAATACTTTTGAAAAAGTAGTAGTTATATAACTGTGTAAAGAAACGTTTGGATATACATTATATATAATGATAAACTGATTCATAAATATCTCAGCTATCGGTCGTATAGCTCTATTTTCTGAAATCTATTGGTAAATGTGTCTGTAACTCATGGCTAGGTCCATACGTCTTCGAAACTCGTGGAGTGGCACTACAGAATCACAAAGGACTGTAATAATTAACATAAAAACACATCACTTGAAGACAGTGATAATCATTAATAATTAAATGGAGTGCAAATGTAAATCGAAGAGAAATTAATAACATAATATAAGCGTTGATGTTCCAAACCAACTTCAAACAAAACGTTAGGAATGGAGACACAATCAAAACTGGATTGTGTGATAATAATAGTCTCGAAAACTTATTTTCTTCCAAAATTGTTCCATATGAATTTAGAAGTGGCCGTTCGATCAATTAAGGCCAGATATTTCCTTATAAAGAAACAACTAATATTACCATTACTCTCACTTTAGACATGTACATGTCAATGGAATAGATAGATAGATAGATAGATAGATAGATAGATAGATAGATAGATAGATAGATAGATATAAATAGAGTGTGAGAGCTATGAATAGATAGATAGATAAATATATCGATAGACAGACAGATAGATAGGTGAAAATTTTAATAATAGTTACAGATAGATAGATAGAAAGAAAGATACTGGAGAAATATAGTATAAATATATGGGAACATATAGGTTTAACTTTGTTATATTTATGAGTGAAAAATGCAAAATTTCAGGGGTCGGGCATAAGTAATTTTAAACTGTGCATTGAAATCAACACCTAGATGCGACAGTATGTTTCATGCTAAACTCAATCGCAAAACAATATATATATATATATATATATATATATATATATATATATTGCCGGTTCCAAAATTCTCTTGAAGATGAAACAGAACTAATGCTTTTAATTTAATTATATAAATAAATTTGAATTTTTCAGTTTCGGTCTTTGAAACATGGTAATTACTGTGTAGCGAAGTAACCACATTTTAAATCATTAAATTTATAATATTTATGCTCTTTAATTGTACATTAAGCAATGTTTGGTAAAAATAAGAATATCAATAAGAACAAAGGAATATATGTTTTACTGTTCTTTCTTTTTTTTATTATGATATATATATATATATATATATATATATATATATATATATATATATATATATATATGCCTGTGTGTGTGTATGAATGTATGTATTTTTGTGCACTAGGGCGTTCTTATATTTTTAATGGAATTTTTATGTTAATTCGCCTAACGCAAATGTTTTTTTCAGTCGTCAGATATATTGAG